TACACGTGCATCTTAAGAAATGTCTAAATGATCCTTCCTTAAATTACAAAGGGTAGGGCAAATTACAGACCTTTGCCGTAAGCTTTGAAATCTCCGCCAAGGATTTCCGGGCTAGAAACCTGAAGGGCTGGGGTGGGTGGGTGGCTACTGCACAGGGACCAGACCACATACCTTTGCAACTACAGTGTTACATCAGGATATGCACAATACTTCTCCAGTCCAATGGACTCAAGCATTAGCACCAGAATGTTCTGGAAGAGTTCATGAAATAAATGAAAACAAAAGAACACAGCTTTCTTCCCCCCACTTCGGGGATGAGGGTGAGGTCTTCTTAAGGATCTCGAAGCACATGTCTCTATCTAGAAAAGTTCAAGAACTGTTACTCCCTTCTCTCTTCACCAGGCAACCCCAACAGAAACTTTCCCTGTGATGTACCGCCCTGGAACTTTCCAGTGTTCAGATGGCAGATGCGTCAGCTGCTTTACTCTGACATTTAAGTACTAACACATACTGGACCCTTAGGAAGAAAGTTCGGGAAAGCATGTAGGGGCATCACTCCCATCTGAGAAGCATACCAAAAAGGATCAGCATGAATTTCTATACTAAGATTTTTGTGTCAAGGTCAGAAAGAAAGAACACTGGATGCGGCAGTTTTTTTTCAGTTTTTAAACAAACAGTGGCCTCGCTGTTACCAGGTTTTTGTTTGCATAACTGTGATCACTTTTCACTCGCTTCGGAAAGATATCAGAAGCAGAAAAGACAACCTAGAGAAAAGCAAGAACAGGTTCAGACTACCGACCCCTCTCTTCCCCCTCCAAACTCTGGACTCGCATTTAGGACTCCTTCCCGCCTCCGCAGACCAGGCACAAAAGTTATCCTATAGATCATCTCCATTCATCCTTTTGATACTTCAGATTTCTAATGAGTGCTGCACTTTAAGTGAAAAAGAGGTCAAGAGTTTTTCAAAGATCATTTATGGTGGCTTGCAAATAAGACCGTAATTTGCTCAGTGCAGAAATTCTACAGGTTGATCTTGAGCCAAAACTACAAAAACTCAGGAATATGACTCACAAATCGCAAAACCCTACTGCCGTAATACAAGAACACTCACCACTCTATGAATAACACCTGCTTATTAGTACAGTGGAAATGGTATGCATTTTATTTGCAAAATAACACCCAAGGAACAGAGTTGCCTAAACCACCTGGTCAGCGGTATCCTGCACAGAATCACTGCTACGGTGTGTGAGGCGGTATTCATCCAAAGACCCTTTTCCAGGACCGATTCTTCAGCGTGCCTGGTCTTCCTTATACCATTGGAGCCTAACAAATGAGGAACACAACACCTGTGGGACTTCAAAAGAAACCAAAACCCACAAAACCTTAGCTATGCCACTGTTATAATTATGAAAAATTATGTAGGCATGATAACAGCACTTAAAAAATAATGTAGTAAAAGAACAAGAGTTTGATGTTTGTAGTGTGAATTTTTTCCTTCACTCTGATTTCAGTTGATGTGGTTTGGGCAACAAATAACAATTAAGAAGTAAAACTGCATTAATTAAATCAGTGTGGTGCCGGCCTAAGGACAGATGGACAGATCAATGAAATCCAACAGTCCAGAAACAGACCCTGGTGTAATAACGTAATATATAATAAAACAGGCATCATGAACCAGGGCATGAGAGGCCGGGGAAGAGAGTTTATCTGACGAAGGTGCTGGAGCTACTGGTTAGCTATTTGGAAAAAAATTACATTGTGATCCTTAGCTCCTGGCATACAAACACCAAAATTAATTCCAATAGGTTGAAAAATATAGAAGCATTAAAACAAAAAGCCTAGAAAAATCCATGATAAATATTTCTGATTCAGGATGGGAAATATTTTAAAACAGTGGCAGAAATTACAATGAAAAGGATCAAAAGAGCAAAGCCATAAATGTTAAATTTCATAAAAATAAAAAATGCCACCCAACAAAAACAAACGGGAAAAAGTCAGCAACAAATATAACGAAGGGTTTAAGATTGTCGCTATAAAAACAGTACGAACAAATACACCAGGGAGAAAACGGAGTGATCAGCTTACAAAAGCAAAATTTCTCAGGCTCACCAGCAATTAAAAAAAAAAAAAATTCACCTCATCAAAATATAAAAATTAGTAATACTGAAGGAGGACAAATCTAAGTCGTGCGCCCTGATTTAGTGGGCAAAGCACGGGCTGGTGGATTTTTGCAAAGCAACTTGGTAACATGCGTCGGTGACCTTCCATTTTCATGGTCTTCGACTCAGTGGTGCCCTTCCGAAAGTCGAAGGAAATATTCGGGATGTGGACAAAGGTTTCTGCCCAATCTGGTCAAGAATATTACTTAAATATCTCAATACTAAAAACAACTTAAATGTCCAATATTAGGGAAATGATCAGGAAAGTGTCATAAATCCACAAGAAAAAATATTATAGAAACATAAAAATTATATTCATGAAGTATCTGAAATGACATGGCAAGTATTTAATTCGAGCTTTAAAAAGCAATATGTGAAGTTTTATATAAAGCACAATACTTATTGAAGATAAAAATGCATAGAAAAGACTAGAAGAAAATGTGTCCAGACATTCACAGTGGTTGCCTGTGGGTGGGAGTCGTACGGCTGGTTTGTCGTTTAATATTTGTCCGTGTGTTCTAAATTTTCTACAGTGACCAGGTATCATTAATAAATTTTCATAATCACAAGAATAGCGCCAACAAAACAGAATTTTAAGGGATAATCAAGCACATACCGCTCAACTACATATAAACACACACACATAAAAAACATTATTTATTTCTATTTCTACCACTGATTTATTGCTTCGCAACACAGGCCTTTATATGCACATTTAATTTAGTAATTCAAAAAAATAGTTGGGATTTATAGCTCTGAACTATTAGCATTTTATTTGTCTTAAGAGATCACTACTGGGGCGCCTGGGTGGCTCCGTCAGTTAAGCGTCCGACTTTGGCTCAGGTCACGATCTCACGGTCCGTGAGCTCGAGCGCCGCGTCGGGCTCTGTGCTGACAGCTCAGAGCCTGGAGCCTGCTTCCGATTCTGTGTCTCCCTCTCTCTCTGACCTTCCCCCGTTCATGCTCTGTCTCTGTCTCAAAAATAAATAAACATTAAAAAAAAATTAAAAAAAAAAAAAAAAGAGATCACTACTGAAGAAGACCTAGAAGCTATTTTACTTCAGGGCTTAGTTGGTTATCGAAGATTTATCAGTCGCTTTCTAGAACACGTAGCACACACACTACCTCCCCTGTGTGAGGGACAAGAGCTTGGCACAGGTGTCGAACTCTCAGCTCACTAACAACCTAGGAAAATGGCAGAAAAGGCAGGGCCACGCGGTGCTGGGAACACCTTTCGCAACACGGACGCTGGGTTATGAAGGAACCAAGGCTGGTGAAGTCCACCAAAACACGTGTTGGAAAGGAAAGAAAAATGAGACAAGATAAAAAGGGTAAATATAGAATTGAGAGAGGCAAGAAGAAAAAAAAAAGTAAAACTCAGAACAACAAGGTTATTCAATCTTTTTTTTTTTTTTTCTTCCAAATGAAGGGAGCATAAGAAAAACCAAAGTCAGGCAGGAAAGAAGAAAGCAGAAGAAGGAGATACGGCCGATGGGTCCAACTGGCTACTATGGCTACTAGTTTTTAATTCCTGAGGCCCTGCCAACAGAGTAACATTCGAGAAAATGCCAGCACTTGCTAAAAACAATATGTGAAGAAATATTTGTTTTCTTAATATTTAACCAACAGGTTTTGCTATGTTTTTGTGTTCTGGAAAAGAAAAAAAAAGGCTAAGGCATATACACAAAAACACACCACACACATTTGATCCTATTTTAAGCGTCAATGTGTTTGAAACAGAACTTGAGAGTTGATTTAGGTGTTACAAATAAACTTGGGACCGTAACACTGATGAGCACTAAAATCTGACATTCCACAGCAAACAGGAGGAGGCTCTGCCCAAAATCGAGCTCTCTATTCTGCAAAGACACACAGCTCGGGAACTTCAGGAGGTATTTAAAAGATTAGCTTGCAAGGGAAAGTCTGCAGATCTGTTCTGCGTTTCTCAACATCTGACCACTACAGTCATAAACGCTTCTCGCCACAACTGAACACCCACATCAGGGAGCCAAAGTTTTCAAATCTCAGTGCTGGTTCAGAGCTGCTCAGGGCTGTCTGACAATTTGGATCTGTCTGCGTTCCACCTGTACTATTATTTATTTAGTATTTTCTTCAAATCAACTCACTTTTTTAAAAACAAAAATACCTACTTTAGGCTGGTTTGTCCTAAGCAATAGAGAAATCACCAGTTTAATGTGCCATACTTACGTTCTGAATACACAGTAAAATAAATGTTTAATGCTTAAATATTTAAATAAAAGTTATGTGTATACAGCATCTAAAAATACTGGATGCACCATTAAGTGGTGAGGTGTACCACTCTTTAGAAAATACAGTCTAATTCCAAGTTCTGCAACAAAGCAAACTCTGAAATTGTTCATAAATGTTTAAGTCCCAAGCTTTTATTGCCAAGGCAACTACAAAAGGTCCAAATCTTAAAATTTCTGATCACCGCAACTCTCAACGCTTGGTTTACTGCACAGACATTATTTGCCACAAAAAAGACACTGACAAGAAAGATGGTCTCCTGTGAATGAATAAGCTTGCTTTGTCTGTTTGTCTGTTTGTTTCACAGGATTTCCTTAAAAGAAGCCAGGCGATAGATCTGATCATGCCCCCAACCTGCCAATCTGTCACCTGTTTTCTTCTCGTGCACCTTGCGTGCTGACTTGGTTGTCATGGAATCTAACTTTCAAATGTTTGTGTTTTATCTCACAGGCCTACTTACTACCCCACCTTTGCTTTCATAACCCTTTCCCTTCTTTGGTCCTCTTGTTTCGTACAGCAGGTGCTCAATAAATGCCCGCGGAACTGAACAAAATCAATACAATCCAAATCTTGCGGCCACGACAAACGGTGTATTTGTTATCACGCAAAGAGACTTTTATTTTAAGGCTGTTACTTCCTTCAAGGTAAGGACTTTGCCTAAGCACACTTACACACTCTGGGCAACGTACACGGATTTGAAAAGTACACAGCACGGGAGTTTTTCTCCTCTCTACTCCAGAACCTCAAACACACACAGCCTGGGAGAGCTCCAAGAGTATAACCTAAAGATTTTAAATTTTATAAATTGGCCTTTAATAAATTGTACAAAGCATTTAATAAAAAAGTTCATATTTTTCAAAGACATAGGTACTTCATGGTTAGCCCTACCCTAAAAGACTCCCATGAAAATGAAACGTTGAAAATAGAAAAAGAGGAGAAAGCCAAACGAAAGGAAGAAAAGAAAATTCAGCTGACAGCATTTGATTTACTTCTGGACTCTCTTCCTGGCTTTCGAACCTTGAAGACAAAAAACAAAGAAATTCAAATCATTAACTTACCAAACCTAAACATCAGAAATACATGCATTTTTATATACTTTTCCATATTTAAAAATCTAATTGACTATGATGATCTGTGGAGATGAAAGTCATACACAAAGGTACTGGTTAGTAGCCTGAAAATCTTAGGAAATTGTGTCCATTTTTTAATACTTGAAAAGATACGCCGACATCTTCCAGTACATTAGAACTCTCCCACTGGTAAAACATATCCAATCTACAAGGGCCCTGAAATATTTCTCCCCCAAATTTTTATTGTGCAATTTAAAATACAGTAACTGCTAATGTAAGCTATAAGCAACAAGACAGGCATTCATTTCTTGGCAACGATGAACTAACGCATATTGTGAAAAGCAAAGAGTAAAACGATAAAATGTGTTGCCCTGTAAAGCCTGCTACCTACATACTCTGTGGGCAGGAGAGGCCTGGGCCATTCCAAAACCCGAAGGCTTTTCCACCAGGAATGAAATCGATCCCAACTGAGCAGCCTTCTAAAGAAGCCTCAGGCCTGACACCGGTCTAAGTACCTCATGACAGTTCCTACCCATCTACTCCTGAGCTGGGATAAATCGGTGATTCTTTACCGGAGGCAGAATTCTTTGCGGCAATCCACCTCACTGAGGAGACTCGGTTCCCACCTAGCACCCCCACTCCAGCTCCAAGGAGAGCACAGCAGTGGGAAGGATGCATCTAAACCTGATCCCGGCTGCCTAGTGCCCGGCAAACCAAGTGCCTTCCCACTGGCTCGCGCCTCCCTCTGCCAGGAAACGAGCAGCGGCACCGGCTGAGGGGCGGCGGGTCGCCCATAATTAATCAATGAATGCAGTCAGCAACAGATCAATAACTTCTTTTCTGAAACGTACAAAACACCCTTTGAATCGAGGACAAGGTATTTACCACACGTCTTCTATTAAACAATTTCTAAAGGTTTTTTGTTCAGTTACTTATGCGGAAGATCCGTTTAAAGATCAGTGTTTTTTCACTTTTCCAAGTGCCAGTTTTTATTTAATCGCCATACACTCCAATTAGAGCAAACTTCAAATTTACGTATCTTTTTTTCTTTTCCTGCCACTGTTAATACTTAGACTATATGGCTGGCTTAAACTTGTAAGCTTTTTCTTCAACTTTTCTGGTATATAAAAACTATCCCACGGTAGATTTTTCATTTTTTATTCAAGAATTTTGAGATTAATTTTGCACAGAAACGAAGACTGTTGTGACAGGGAGACGCTGGCATAATGGGACATCACAAAGGCAAGGTCAATAACCAGTACTGTAGTACATCTACTTTTCAAGAAATTTTGGAATCTATCGTCATGTTACAGAGGACACTTAACAATAGTTATTACGATGTTCAAGGAGTATTATTCTATTTAACATCCTAATTTGTCACCTGACTCTTAAATACCACTGCTGCGGATTCCCTTCAATGTAGATTTAAAATTTTCCACTGCAACTAGAAACACTACCACCACCTGGAATTTGTTACATAATCAGGATTCTGCAACATGGCGTCTTTGCTGCATGTATCAATTCAGTATTTTCCCTAACAATCAATTCTGATTGTGGCAGAAACAGTATTTTTCCTCTCCTCATCTCTTTTAAAAATATACCCATTTCCATAATATATTCCCACTGGTAAAAAGGTCCAGCTGTAAGACTAATGCATAAAATTTAATATGTGGAAAATGAAAAAATACAAGTTTGGGTACTCTTCTATGATTTTATTAATGCAGAAGTAAGAAACAAGTGGGGGGCTTCTTTGCCTTAAAATATCCCCCCCCCCCCTTTTTTTTAACTCTATCACAGATACTCGAGAGGTAAACATAAATCCTGCTTGCCTCGGCTTCGTCAAGACTGGACTAAAACTCGAGGCACTTCACAAATACTACTAACAAGAGAAGAGACTGTGGAGTACTGTCCTTTCATGAACGGGAGGGACAAAGCACAGCAGCCATAAATATCATGGCTACATTAACTAATTTTTAGTACAATTCTGAAACACTGGCATGGTTTTGAAATGCCAGAATACGCATGGCTTTTTAAGGCTTATCATTTTGTGGGGGGAAAAATTACTTGCAGCAAATAACCAAATTTTCTCAATTGGTAAAAATTATGCCTTGCATAAAAATAAAAGGATTAGAGGCCTCTGTTCTTCTTGAAAACCACCCCATCACCCCCTCTCTTTCTTTGAGAAAACCCACACAATACACATTTTGAAAGCTTTCAGAATGTGTTCTTACACAATAGACCCCCAACTAGTCAAAATGAGTTTAGGTGTATCAAGAAAATTATACACGTTTTTAAAACGGTCTAAATAGATATTAAAGGAAAGTTGCTCCCACTCTGCCAGGCACAGTATCCTGAAAGATCGCACAGTGAGAGAAATCTCTTACCATATTGTAAACCATAAACTGTGTTTGAAAATAAAATTGTTAATGAAGAAACTGACATTTCTAAAGCTGCTGTTTGAGGTAACCATTCTTGAAACACATTTATGACACAAAATCTTAAAAGCTCTAAAACACAGAAGTCACCGAATTGCATTATATATTTCTTTAAAACAAAATCCAAACATAATAATGTGCCTCCTTCTTCAAGTTACTTTAAAATGATGAAATATAAATATATATTTTCATGAACGCTTGGCTTTTTTTTTTTTTTTTTTGCCAGAAGCAATAACATTTTACCATCTCAGGTAATATTTCTCTCATTTGTGAATATTTAGACAGTAAAATACCTTACCTACCCCTATACTTTCGGGGAAAAGATGAATTGCAATGAGAAGCGAAAGAGCATTTAAGCATTAAGCTTAAGCATTAAGCAATGCAGAGTTTATAGGAATAAAGGAGAATCTGATTATTCTTTATCTCTTTTTTTTTTAAATCAAAACAAAAAAATCTGGATTGTTCTCCTTAAATTTGCAATGGGGTCCACATTCTTCTAAGGACTTTAAATCAAAAATTTTACGGGGCGCCTGGGTGGCGCAGTCGGTTAAGCGTCCGACTTCAGCCAGGTCACGATCTCGCAGTCCGTGAGTTCGAGCCCCGCGTCGGGCTCTGGGCTGATGGCTCAGAGCCTGGAGCCTGTTTCCGATTCTGTGTCTCCCTCTCTCTCTCTGCCCCTCCCCCGTTCATGCTCTGTCTCTCTCTGTCCCAAAAATAAATAAACGTTGAAAAAAAAATTTTTAAATCAAAAATTTTAGGTATAAAAAACATTGTTCCCGGGTACAGGCGAATTTAAAATCACTTCTGTATCTCATTAAGCCACGTTCAGGTCACGAACAACCCGCAGGCAGTCAAGAGGGGCCCGAGTCTTCTCCACGCACAACTGAGTCCGCTTTGGTCTAAACGGGCACCAACCTTACTGTTGACAGTGTAGGCCCTTTGCTCAGCTCATATTGCCCGTTTTGAAATTTAAGGGATTTTTGTTTAGAATATTGTTCTATCTTTATAAATGCTGCTCAATCTCCCCCCCCCACTCACTGTCATGGCTGCTGCTAGTCTCTGGCTGAGACAGGCTTCCACGCACAGCTCCTCGGGGTTCCTCACCTCCTAATAAAACACGGACAAGGGGCGCCTGGGTGGCTCAGTCGGTTAAGCGTCCGACTTCGGCTCGGGTCATGATCTCGTGGTCCGTGAGTTCGAGCCCCGCGTCGGGCTCTGTGCTGACAGCTCAGAGCCTGGAGCGTGTTTCGGATTCTGTGTCTCCCTCTCTCTCTGCCCCTCCCCTATTCACACTCTGTCTCTCTCTGTCTCAAAAATAAATAAACATTAAAAAAAAAAAATTAAAAAAAAAACAAAAACATGGACAAGACGGGAGGTGGGGAGGGTGGAAATGAGGAAATGGAAGTGGCTGCAGAAAAGAGAGAGGAACTTCTTCAAAACCTTTAGCCTCCAGGGTGAGGTTCTGTCCTCCCTCTCTGGATGCCCCCAGTATTCTCTGGGGTAAATTCAGATAAACCTAAGGACGTGCGCTTAATAAATACTACATAATAAAGACTATGTTAACAGAATCGGAGCGAAAAGGATTCTCTTTGAAGGTCGAGTGTTTGCCGTCCACGAACATACACAGGTGACACTCTCAAAGGAAAGGTAGGACACATCCCTGGCTGGACTCGATAGGCCACTTGTGCTTTAACACAACTTTCACCAAAAAAAAAAAAAAAAAAAAAAAAAAAAAAAAACGCCTTTATTAGAAATCCAGAAACGTTGTTTCAGGACCAACAAAAGGCAGAGAGATAGAAGTCTGGAAAAAGAAAAAATGGTACCACTCCAGCACTGAATTTCTTCACCGAGTCCAACAAATCCCCTCTTGTGAAACCTGGACCAGGTGCCCCTTTTCCTGAGCCACCCACAGGTGCGCCGTTTTCGAAGCCAACCACACCGCAGCCGGCCCTTGCTGCGCCCTTTGCAGGCGCCACCTTCCTAACGCCAGCGCTGGCACCGCCCCGCACTGCGGGAGCCTTCGGCACCAGCCTACAAGCCCCCTCGGAAATGATTGTAGACTTTGCTTTTTGCTTCAAGAGCTTTGAAAGGTGACGACCCGAGGCTCTAACTCCTTGCGTCCCAACTTGTCCAGAGAAACGAGGAGTTGGCACACTTTGCTGGGAGCACTCGGACGGCTCAGGCAAGTGGGGCTTGGCAGCTGCAGTAAGCCCAGGAACTCCTCGCCCGGTCCGGACAGTCCGCTCACCCCGTTCCGTAGATCAATGTGCGGAAATGGAAGAGAGAGTTCTGGCTCCGGCACTTGAATGCTCCGTGTCGTGGGCTCCCTAGATGCAAAATGAGAGCACCTCCCGCCCCAACTTCATGATCACGATGGACAGCAAATAATACGGTGTATGTACAGAGGACACTGTGACCACACTCTACAAACACGAGCTCTTCTTGCACAGTATTTTATTAGACAACCAAAATGTTACGACCGTAAGTGAACCTCTTATTGAGTGGAAGGAAATGAAATCTGTGTTTACATAAGGAGAAAGCTAACAGGCAAGACTGTTCAACTTACGGGTTTGTGTGGCCTCTTCTGTCTGTGTATCTGAGCATTCCATATCTTCAACACTGGATTCTGTGCTCTCGATTCCTTTCTTTCGCTTCTTACGTGTAAAGATTTTTTAAGAGAGAGAGAGAGAAAGAGAGATGTGGTCTGACGGTCAAAGAAGCAAACACACGAACCTACCATAAAACCACCATATATGCGAATCTATCCAGGTGTGGGCGTATCAAAACAAGCAGAAGACCGTTCACAATGTCAGGGTGGTGGCCGCCCCTAAGGGAAGGGGCTGGGGATGGCAGCCAGTGGGATGAAGACAATCTTCAAGGATACACTTAGTCTAAATGTGAGCTGATTTGTTACCGCCACCTCTAATTTTCTATGCTTCTTCAGAATCATTTACCACTGAAAGCCTCACCATCGGGATGGATCATACAGAAACTCTCTCCTAAAGCAAAGCGTTTAACAAAACGGTATCACCACTCAGGCCAACGATACTTATTCTCCCCGTTTCACAGTGTGTGTTGTGTCTGCGGTGGGGGAGCGGGGGGGTAATCTCTCTACCTGATCAGTGGGAAAATCCACACCTTGTCCATATAGTATGGATCACTGGTTATATCCTACAAATCGGTGGTAAAAGTCTACTTTAATGACAAACTTCCAGTAAATGTATTCTTTTGGCACACTTTTTATTAAAAGGTTAGGAGGGCATAAACCTACCTGTAAAGGAGGAGTCTGAAGAGGAAGTACACGGCTCTCCTAAAACCTCAAAAGCAGGTTGGCTTTTCTACCCTTCCCTCGGGCCTTTCCAACTTTCTATTTATTTTTCTAGTTGAGGGTTACTTAAAAGTTAAGGCTCGTATTCTGCCACCGGCCCGTCTTCCCAAGTGTTCATTCAATTTCTTTTTATTATTTTCGATCACTTTTCTAACTAGTTCAGTCCTGTGTGAAGTTTTTAAATTACTCAACACGTCTACAAATGGAAGACCCTAGTAATAACTTTACAACTTTGTATTTCTCGTGTACCTTTATCCCAATTTAAATGTGTTAAAATCCAAATGACTACTCAAAGCTTCCCTCGGTTGCCTGGATTTCATTTAGGAAATCCTCTCATTTGTCCCCGATTTCAGATTCACAACGCGTCGGAACGTCCTGGCTTGTCTTTTGCAACAATTCACGTGAAGTTAAACTTCACCTGGGCATTTCCCTTGCCGCAGGCCATTCTGCACTCTGCTCTCTCGCCTGATGGCAACCGCGGGTTCCGTTCCACAGAGAACGACACGGGAAAAGCTCGACTCGACTCAAACTACATTATCTTAAAACCCCCGAATGGTCAGAACTGTTATTACGCACGTATTACGAACAATCCCACTGTTTCAAAATATTCTTGAGGTGGCCGTGGAAAGATCGGGACTCACATATACCCACCACGTTCCTAAAGCAAACGCTTCACGTGCACAAAAAGAACCTGACGGCACCTTAAGAAACTTGAAAAGGCGTTCATTTAGCAGATCTGTATAGGGAGGTATTGCCTCTCAAAAATAGCTGTGAGAGTGGCTGTAACTTCATATAACTGATGAGAGAAGGGGAGAGTGCCTTACATCTTTCTTTCCCAAAGTGTTGCTTCATGATTACCATCTAAACCCTGCTGGGCTGAACAGATTGGTTCGATAATTACATACAATAACTGCAGTGGGCAGGTAACCCTCAGCTGGCACAGGGCAGCTCCCCTGTGAGAACTTCCATATGCAAACTGCACTGATGGAGTGCATTAGGTACATCTTTCCTGCCGGTGCACAGGCCTGATTAACGCCAGCCAAGACTCCAAGGTTAGCATGTCAGCAGATTTGTGATGCATTAGGCAGGAATAAACACAGACACTTTTGTTCGTTCGGACCAAAATTAAGGAAGAATATTTCACTACTATATTGCTTTCCATATGGGAAAGAATGCATTTTCCGATCTTGAGGGGGCAGTTTTTTAAGTGCTCATTACAAAGGGGGCTATCCAATACATTCTAAAGAACCTAGTGTGTTCATCTTGTTTTCAAGCTTATTTAATAAAAAAAAAAAAAAAAAAAAAAAAAAAAAGAGCTTCCTTACTCTCCATGCAGGTAAATGACACAGGAATGAAAATCAGCCAGTATTCAAGCAAAAACAAACCACCCGTGTTGTAAGCATCATGCAGTAGGTAGAACACTGAATCTCCGGTGCGTATCTCCAGCCCAACTTTTCTGAGAACGTATTTAGTTTTGACAGAAAGGGCCAATGGTCTACAGGAAAAGACCAATTTAAAAAAACAAAACACAAACAAACAAACAAAAACCCTTCCAGTTTAATAGCATGTAAGTTAGTGTGTTATTTCTACAAGACTACGAGTAAAATTCCAAACAATTCGCTGGCAGCTTCTTTCTCCCGACTGTCTCCAAATGCTTCATTTCATTATTTGTCAACATCCTGGGCTTCAGATAGTGTGTATTTTGGTTCTCTTTGAACAGAAAACGGCTTCACAAAGGCACCACACTAATCTCTGATTCTGTCATATTCCACACCAGGTCCCACAAAGTGCCTTTGCATTTATAAACGAAATCAAAATATTGTACGACACACAAGAATAACTTATAAACTCAGAACAGAGTTTTCTTTTAATTCAGCACAGCTAAAATATCTGCAGAAAATTAGGTTTATTTCAAAGGGCATTAGCGTATGTGTTACACATTGTATTTTTGAAGTGTTCAGATATGCTAGGCTAAAATTTAGTTAATTAGCAGCTTCTCACTTCCAGCTTAGAAACAGGGAGACAAATCAGCTAGATGCATTTGGACTGATAATTTACTAATAGTCTAAACACTGACTAGAGACCAGTCAGAGACTTAAAGCTGTTTTAACGGGGCAAAGAATTAAAATCTTCTGAGGCAAAAACCAAAGACCTGTTCATTCTCTGCTTCCCAGGTCAGAGACCAAAAGATCACCTCTAGACCCTTTCAGCAGCCTCTGGGAAAAGCCAATCAGATGTCTGGCTATGGCAAAGGAGAGGAGGTGCCAGGCCTGTGGCTGGTTTTTCCTCCTCATTACAAAAATCACACATGTTTATTACAGAGACTTAGCATATACAGCCTTTGGAACCGTGCATGTGTCAATGAACAAAGAATTCTAAATACAAACAGGTGACTGTACTAATCAGTCCATCTTACTTTGTTCATTTGGTTAAGGCCACCTAAAGCCACCATGCGGATAGACACAGTTTATAAATTACTCCTCCATACGTTAACAGCAACCAGAAAAACAGGCTGTTACTCAACAGTAACTAAAAAAGATCGAATGGATCTTCTGCGAAGGTGAAGCAGACGCGACTGGGGGCTTCAGTTAAAATTCACGATGCAGACAAAACACTGAGGCTGGGGAGGGCACAAGGCCAAGGGAACTGTGGGGTGTTTCCCAGCTGGGGGTGGGGAAAGACCAGAACTCGGAGCTCTTTGTTTTTACAGGGTTTCCATCTCGGAGCTGTGCCGCCCCGCTCACCCTGGGCAGGAGGCGGCAACTCCCGGTTGCTTTGTCTCCACACTGACGTGTCCCTTCCTAAAGGGGTCAAGCCCACGGAGCGGTGCGCCTGGCGAAGCCCAGCGCTCTTCACCTGCGCGCTCTCGGTGAGCCCCGCGTGGCACTGTACGTGGACAGATGTGCGGGTCTGCACCTGTCCGGCAACCGTCCACCTAGCGCTGTGACGATAAAGAGCTGACTTCCTATCGTACTCCAAACCCTTTGCAAACTGTGTCACGTTGAAGTGGACATCAAGCAAATACAGATGTATTTTGAGGAAAAGCAGGAAAAGGTCAGATGTAATTGGAAAAAGAAGAAATGAAAAGAAAAGAAGTGGGTCAGGAAGCGAGTAAGGGACTGAAAAAGAGGGGCAGATTCATTTGAAGAATAATCTAAAGCTATTCTGCTAGAATGCATTAAAGTGATTTATTGTTTTAAAAGAGTTCCAGTGATGAAGGCTGTCACAAGAATCGCGAACGTCACCATTTCCTTCTGCAGTAACTCCGGCCTCCGTGTTACTGGGGGCGGAGAACCCACCACACATCGACTGAGCACCTACTGTGTGCCTGCAACTGTTAACAGGCTTTGCTCTCAGGTTGAAAAAGACATGCTAACAAACAGATGAAAGCAAAAGACTAATTTCGGCTTTTAGAAAACCATTAAGCACACGCAAGTGAAATTTCTAAAACCGTACGTATGGAAGACCTATCAAATCACTGTAGGTCTGTAAGTTGTCTCAAGTCCAACGTGACCTCCCGCGCGCGGAATGCCATTCTATGAAGGAGCAATCCGTACATAAATGGGACACGTGCACTGCAGCAGGATCCTCACACAGAGAGTCGTGACACCGCGGCGATGCTTTCCAGGAAGCAACTTTACTTGTGCTGGCCCCGCTCGGGTGGGTTCGTACCTGAAGAACTGAGCCCCGAGCGCCACGAGGTGTAGATTTTCACACACTTCCACTTTTTTGTCTCTCACACACAGCAACACACAAACATGCAGTCTGATGGGGCGGTCTCACGTTACAAGGTCGTGAGGGATGTTGTCACGTACGCGTATAGCCAGGATGCCTTGAGGTTTTTGTTTTCGGGGTTTTTTTCCCCCTCTCCTTAGGGAGGGGGCCCTACCACAACATGACTTCATTTTATTTGTTGTTGTTATTTGCTTCCATTTACGTGTCCCGTCTCCATGTTTAGTTATCTACTCTGGACGCAGGAAGAGGAAGTACAACTCCAGCAAATTTTGCTGATTTTAACAGGTCTGGGGGACTGGGTTCAACAAAAGAAAATGTTTCAATATAGGATTTCCCATGAGGAATGAAGGATTCCCTGTTATCAGCTGAAAATGAACTAATGGCACACAGTGTACAGAAACAAACAAAAAACCAAAAACTAAAATCTCCTGTGACCATAACATGGGAGACGGTCTGCAAGGAGCTGAGAGCGAAACATGCTTGGTTTACTCTTGTGGGGGGAGGACACAGATTCGGGTTATCTTGAAACGTTCACACACACACACACACACACACACACACACACACACACACACGTTAAAAATAGATGTT